GCTGCTTTTATTAGCAAGTTTCAAAGTTCTGTTCCATTGTATAGCACATAGTCAGTACCTCATTCCTTTTTGGTGTTAAAGGATGCAGTCAAAAGAATAATGTAAAATTACCATCCGTAACATTTAAGTGTTCAGAGTGCAAGATATATTTCACAGGGTATAAGCAAGTTCAGAACTTTTTCATCGGACAATTGAAAACGTTACTACCCATTAAACAACTCCACATCATTCGTCCCCTACCCCGGCAAACCACCATACACGTTGCTGCCTCTGGATTTGAGGTGCTCTAGGACCTCATATAGTGGAATCACTAAGTGTCTTTGGACTGGCTTATTCACGAGCATAATCTCCTAAAGGTCCATGCATGTGGTAGCATGATTAGAATCTCCTTCATCAAGGGCTTAAATTCCCATGTGTATTATGGTGTGTGTGAACACACACCACACACACAGCACACACACACCACATCGGTTTACCATTATCGTCAAAGAACACTGGTTGTGTCACCGTCTATGTGAATAATACTGCTTGGAAACATGGGTGACAATACACATTCAACGCTCGGCTTTCACTTTTGTGGAGATACCAGAAGTAGAATTGCTGGGCATGATGGGTAATGCACTATTTGTTTGAGAAGACTGCCGTACTGTGTTCCCATAGCATCTACACCATTTACAGTCCACAAGAAGTACATGAATGTCATTCCACACCCCAACACTTGTGTATCTTGGGGAGGGGTTGGTATTGGTTGTTTGAAGCAGGGTCTACTCTGTTCCCACTAGAGTACAGGAGTGCATCTAGCTCAAGTCGCAGCTCAACTGCCTGGGAGCTGCTCAAGGTGGGGCCCTTCTTCTGCTTAGTCCTCCCAAGTAGCGGATGAATACAGCGTGTGCGCCACCAAGCCGGCTGATGTTCTGTTTTTTGAAGAGGACGAGGTCTCACGTATTGCCTCAGGCTGTGTAAACTCTGCTCAAGGCATCCTCCTACGTTCAGCTCCCAAAGGGGGTCTGACTATGCCAGTTGGAGGGTGCTTGCTTATGCTGAAAGCTGTCTTGAACTCTGGCCTCAGCTATCCTCCTGCTCGGCCGCCCAGGGTGTAGGATTGAAGTGGAACCACCATGCCAGCCAATTTTTAATTTCTTTATGTGTAGTAAAACACTAAAGCATGAGAATCTACCCCTCTATTACTTGGGCTGGCTTTTAGTGCTTGTGAGTTTTTTTGTAGTGAGAGATAGATGTTCCCCAGCTTTTGATAATAATGACAAAACAGTGTACCATAGAGTTAAAAGTGGTACAGGGGATAGTTTGAGATATGTCGAGTTGTGAAAGAAACCACAATTCAAGCTGATGAACCACATCCTAGTCCTCACATAGTTAGGCTTCTTAAATAACAGCTGCGAGAATTCACAACCTTAAAAATTTACCTGTTGTTAATTACCCTTTAAAGTGTACAGTTTCAGTGTGTTGTTAGATATTCACAGCCATTGGCAAGTTGCACCATCAATCTAAGTGTAGAACATGTTCATCATCCCAATGAAAAACCTCCACCCATTAGTTGCATGCCTCAGTCTCACCACCACTACCACGCCCCAACTGTGTATAGCCACTAGTGACTTTCTGTCTCGATAGATTGACAACTAGAGACTTATATATATTTAAATGAGTAATTTTAGTTTGTAGGGTCTTTTTCGACATATTGCGAATAATCAGCATTTGAGCTTGTTTTAGATCAAGCCCTTAAAAGCTATGACGAATATCACATTTAGGAAGTTGAATTTAAATAATACTTTGGCCAGTAATCTTTGTATATGTTAGCAGTGAATTTTGGTCGGCGTTCAGTAGGATGTTGATCTGATGTTGCCAGTGTGCGTGGAGGCCCGTGTGGAGACCCTCTTCAGATGACTGCTCAGAGGAAGCCGAGAAAGCAGGAGTTTGATGACTGTCTATCCACTTTGGACATTTTCTGTATAGCAAGGTGATTTTTTTCTAAGACAGGTCAGGAAATCCTGCGATAGTAGATTGCACCTTTCAAAAAGCTGCAGAAAAAAGAAGACTAAGAAAAGAATACCAAAGTTGACTATCGATGATGTACGAGTAATATTCTAGTAATATGCTATGCCATGGAGTTTTTAAAAAAAACACCTTGGAGAGGGGTAATTAGACCAAATTTAAATAAAAAAGCATGTAAATAAAGTTAATGAGAAATGTTAGCGCCGATGAAGCTTTTCTAATGTCATACATGGGAGGTGAGTTTCCCGCAGAGTTCCGCTTCTTGGGTAGTGCATGTCATCCCCACCATGAACAGGAGTGTTGACTATCTGAGGAGCAAGAAAAATCAGATTGTTTCAAAGTAGTAACAACGCTCCTTGAGCCTGTTTACCACTTTATCAATTATTGATTTTGGTTCCCGATTATATTTATAAAGAAGTTGAACTATGATGAAAAATTCCAGACCAAGAACTCATAGAAGTAGCCTGAAGGGTCAGTCCGTATGTTTTAGCCGGACTATGCATGTAACGACACCACATATGAAGTAGTAATTAAGTTGAACAGGAAATACAGGAACTGAAAAAACAGAAAATTGCCATTAAAGTACCAGCTCCAGATTTTGAGAGTCTGTAACATGAGCTAGTTGGAGTAATGTACGAATTGTAGGTTGATAAGGAACTAGCCTATGTAGTTTATATCAGATTATATTTAAACCATCTAGTCATTCCATCATTTGGTATAGGTATTCATAAAGAAGTAAAAACTCAAAACACAAGCTGCTTATTATGATACAGTTCTATTGAAAAACTAGATTAGGACAACCACCGAATGAGTATATATAGCACAAAAACCTCCAAGAAATTGATTGACTCAGACAGGTACCCTTCTGATGTCAGAGGGCTAGGAGAGAACTCCAGGAATATCATCACTTCAGGCTGTGTTATAGGAC